TTTAATAGATGCTAATAAAAACTAATAACTAATATAAGACAATCCCTGTTATTTAAATGTCAACTTCTTGTTGAGTGATGGTGGCGCACACCTTTAATCCCAGCACTCAGGAGGCAGAGGCAGGCGGATCTCTGTGAGTTCGAGGTCAGCCTGGTCTACAAAGCTACACAGAGAAACTCTGCCTGGAAAAACGAAAAGAAAATGCCAACTTCTTTCTGTTTCACTGATGAACATGATTTAACAGCCATCTCCATTTTCCATCAGTTCCACAAATAGATTGCCTTCACACATTAGGAATGGATATATAGATGATAAATAATGAGAAAGATACAAGTATCTGATAGATTATAATAACGGTAACAGATGGTAGACAGATACTATGATAGATGATAAATAGGTAGATATATAGATATAGTAAGTATAAATATGTAATAGATAATGACATAATGATGAAAGACAACAGAGAGCTAGTTGATGAGGAAGAAGCTGGATGATGAGTAAGATAGATATAATAAACATAATGGTGCTAGATGATGGCTGGATAAGTAGATAGATGGATAGGTTGACAGATGCTAACAAAGATGATTAAAGATGTAGATAACAGACATAGATGGTAGGGGATAAACGAATAGATTGAAAGATATAGAGGTTGGATACCATAAGAGATGATACACAGACAGATGATTAGATAGGCAGATAAACAGGCAGGTGGCAGATACAGAGACAGGGGATACATAGCGGAATATGGACATAATTGAGTATGTGAACTAGGACAGTGTGGAACAGGTTTATATCTTTATTTCTTCAATCAGAAATAGGATGCCCATCTTGGTGGATCTGATTTACATTATCACATTGAGTTTCTTGATCTTACTCATGCCCACAAGTCTCATTGCTTCTCTGGCATCCTCAACTCACTAGGGTAGAAAGTCACACAGCAAGGAAGTGAGATACACTCACAGAGGCTCATCATATCCAAGGAAATGATACACTCACAGAGGCTCATCACATCCATCCAAGGAAGTGATATACTCACAGAGGCCCATCACATCCAAAAGTTTCCTACAGGTACAGGCTCTGTGAACCTTCCTCCTAAGAATTATCTAGGATCAGAAGAAAGTGCGAAGACAAGACTGTGATATTTTTTAGTTCTAATAGACATTTACAATGTGGTGGCTTTCCTTCTAGTTATTTGCATTGTTGCTACAGTCCAGGCTGCAAAAGAAGAGAGGTCACAACTCTGAAGAGCTTTTGCAACCACAGAGTGACAGCCAGTTGAATTCATTCAAAATAATGCAGAGAGCATGGAAAGGTTCCCCTGGAGACTCCCCATTTGAAATGACATGCTTCTGTTTTTGTTAAACACAGGGGTTTCACCTTGGCAAGACATTCTAAGGCAAAGGACTTCTAAGAGAAAACAGAGGTTCCCAAACCTCCATGTGCCACCCTGGGAGTGTGTCATGACAGGCTTCAGAGTCTCTTTAAAGCCAAAGGCACAATAATTCACCACATTGAGTATTTTCAGAGTCATTCCTGCCAGCAACACCTCTCCCATTTCATCATCAGAAGTTGAGATACTCATCTCAAGGCACACTGCCATGAGTCAGCAGAGAGACATTCTGCTTCTCCAGTTTCATGTCCCTGCTCGCTGGCTCTCCCTTTAATATGAGGATGTGCACATACCCCAGCAACACACTTCATATAAACCAAACGCAACAGATAGATCAGGTGATTCATAGGACAGCTCAAGATACTAGCAGTCTTAGAATAATACTACATAAATCCACAGTTTGTCTATCTGCCGGGGTCCTTGGCACACTGGAGAAGGCATCAGGTTGGAATGATTTGAGTTAGAAATGGATGGTCCTATTTGGCAATGATCTGCCTGAGCATGCATGTTTATGACAAATGCCATCACTATTATCAGTCCCTGATAATTCTATGTCCATAAAATGGCCCAGCATATAAGGGGTCATCATAAAGCCCTAACACCACAAGGTCAAGGCCCACTCCAGGTCCCGAGAGTTTACTTTTAGAGGATGTTGGGAATGGACTCTGGCTCCAACTTAATTAAACCTATCTCCTCTCAACACCATCTCTGAAGTTAAGGTAAGTCACGCATGGCTTTCTGGGTCTCTACAAAGCCCTCCCAACTCTAAAACAAGTTGATGCACCCTTTAGCCACCGTTTTCTAGACGCTTCCTGCTCTCTAACACACAGACCCCCTCACACATATCTCAGGATCTCTCTCCTTAGCTTGCAGCTAACCTTTCCAAACACCAGCCCTGCATCTACCTACAGACTCTATCCACTTAGAGCAGACCAGACACAGAGAAAGCAACTCTTATTTCACATTTTCTGAAGACACAAAAGTGTTTAAATTTCCAATACTGCCGATGGCTAGGAAATACAAGGCACTTTGTCTCTGCTTCAATTACCTCATTCTCTTTAAGCAAAATGAAATTTGAAGCCATGTAGAGGTTCTGGAACCAAAGGAAGGGCATTAGCATAAATATTACTTTGGTGGAACTTACATTTTTCTTCCACTCACAGAATGTAAGTGCTTGTTTTTTTATTTATTTATTTATTTTCCCTTCCATCTTGCTACATACATTTTTAACCATCAGCAAAAAGCAACTTTTGTCATCAGAAAACTGCTTCTGGCTGGGCTTTTAATTTGGTGGCTGGCAATCTATCAGAAAATGATTAAGGGTAACTTCTTTTGACTTGGAAAAAATCATTTAGTCAAGTAAGATAATCAACCTCTAAAGAGAGAATGAAGCCAAGGTCTTGTTGTTGGTTAACGTAGCTGGCAGATAATAGAGAGTCTTGTGTTAGCAACCAGAACCTCCCATGTGAATCAGGCTTGCAGGTGCCTGCAAAGAAATTCAATTAGTCTCTGTATCTGTAAGGGTTGATGTCCCTGACCTCTCAATACCAGGCACTAATACAGGAAAACAGCCTATGCCATCTTAACCACAGTCCAGCCACGTCAACCTGCTGTCACTCTGAGAAATCCCCCTACCCAGGCTTCACATTAAACTGCTTGGAATACCAAAGAGAGCTGCTCACACTCAGCCTCCTCTGAACTCCTTGGTGCTACTCGACAATGAAGCACCAACAACCCAGAATCCTCTCAACCATCTCTGAAGTCAAGGTAAGTCACGCATGGCTTTCTGGGTCTCTACAAAGCCCTCCCAACTCTAATATCCAGAAAACAAGTTTTATTCTTAAACTATAACATACCCTTTTTACCTATTGGTTAGCCATAGCCTAGCTTCCTCCATTCCAGCCAGGCCTGACCTGCTCATCAGAATCTTCCCCAAATTCCTACCATTGCTGTACAGTTGAGACTGTACTGACTCTGCCAAGTCAAATGTCATCTGCCATATTCCCCCATACCCACCTTCTGTTCTCACAGAACTGTGCTCCCATCTCTCTTTAGGCCATGCCTATGTTTATTTAGCTTTGGATCATATACTTTTCCTAAAAGTGAACAGGAAACTCAGACAGATAGAAGCCTAATGGGGCTGGGGTTTGATCCAGTGGTTCCAATAGTGATAGCTCCCGGCTCCTAGAAGCTGTCTGGTAAACAATTGGTCAATAGGTAAATGGATTTTGTGGCCACAGAATTGTGCTTTAAAAACCATTCATCCTGGCACAGCAGCAATAAAAAAGTCATACTTGTATCCTTTCTCTTTGAGAGAGCCCTGGGGTATGCAGGTCAAGAGCACAAAGTTCCTGGAAGAGTCCAGAAACTATTCTATTATTCCAGTGGGTCATCAGATACCACCTGAGGTTGGACCAGTAAGATGCAGTAGAAGCTGGCTGAAGAGATGGCCCAGTGGTTAAGAGCACCAAGTGGTTTTTCTAAAGGAGATGGGTTGAGCCAGGTTCAATTCCCAGCACTCACATGGTAACTCACAACTGTCTGTGACTCTAGTTCAAACATTCTCATACATGCAGGCAAATAACCAATGCACACAAAATATTAATAGTTTGTTTATGCTAGGCAGTAGTGGCATACACATTTAATCCCAGCACTTGAGAGGCAGAGGCAGGTGGATCTCTGTGAGTTTGAGGCAATTCTGGTCTACAGAACTAGTTTCAGGACAGTCAGAGCTGTTACATAGAGAAACTCTGCCTCAAAAAAACAAAATCAAAACACACAAACCAAAAAAAAAAAAAAAAAAAAAACAATCAAACAAAAACCCAGAAGGACCTCCAATGTCCATTTATTTCCTTGAGGTTAGCCTCTACAGTAGGTCACCTTCCCAAACAGGGAGGAAATGGGAAGTACTCTCCAGGTGATGAGTGCCCAGGACTTGGCCTGGATCAAGCAACAGACCAGGGGGTTTATTACTGTCTAAGTGCAGGTGCCAGACAGGCACTGTGGAGGGGGAAGACAGCAAAGATGCTACTTGGGTTGGTAGCTCAGTTGGTAGAATGCAGGAAGCCCTGGGTTAGATGCCATCACTCCATAAAAACTTGGGTGGTGATGTATATCTGCAATTCCTGCATTTGAGTGATGGAGGAACATAAGGTCATCATTGAATAGACAGCAAGTTTAAGGCCAGCCTGGAATACATGAAACCCTGTCTTTAGAAAGGCAGAAAAGGAAAAGAAAAGATGCCAGCCATTCTATACTGCCTTTTGAGGTCTCTTGGCTGTCCAAGGTACCTTCTTCCTTGAAAAACTTATACTACTTGGTCCTGAGTGTTAACTCCACACAGTCATTCTCCTCTTTTCCTAGAGCACTTGATTTAAATATATCATAATATATATTCCTAACTCATGGGGGAAAGCATGTAATTAGACTCCGAGTCTTTCGTGGGTAGGGATGTCGCTTTTTCGCTTTTGAATCTCTAGCGTTCCATTCTTGGAGACTGGGGTGCTTTGCTGGATATGAACTAAACTGAAATTGACTCAAGGGATTGGACATCTCCTCTGGAAACTGAACACAATGAAAAGCTCCTATGAGAACAGTTCTGATGACTTACCTCTTTAAGCACCAGTACACACTTGCCAGGCCCCACTGACTGAGGTAGCTCTGCAATCCTCCCTTTGTTCAGGAACGGGCCTGAGAAACACCGGTGGTTGACAAACAACTGTGGGCAGCAGTACTTCCCGTTGACAGTTCCTGCTGGGAGAGAATGGCACATCGAATGCTGGAGATGGCTATTATACTGTGACTTACGGCACTGTCAAGACCTGAACTGGATCCAAAGTTCTTGCTGGAGAATCTGAAGTAGAAACGGACTCTGAATGGTTGTCGCTTCCCCCGAGAGCTAGAGCTACTGTGATTCTAATCAAGCAGCCTGACTTGAGTTTCAAAGTTTGACAAAGAGATGCATGCTTTTCCCCTTGGAGAAAGTGCCCTGTGGCCTAACACCGACACATCAGCACATCTGTAAGTGTCTTAAGATACTTTTACACTTTGCTTATTTTCCCATTGTGTAAACATCAGACTTTTCTGTAGATCAGATAGCATCTAGATACAGAAAGAAGCAGACTGTAACAATGAGAAACCAGGAATTATTACACAGCTCAAGGACCACCACTGTCATACAGATAAGATCCCCTGTAAGTTCTACCCTAGCAATTCCTCTCATTGCCCTAGAACAGTGATTCTCAACCTTCCTACTGCTGCAACCCTTTAACACTGTGGTTCCTCATATGGTGACCTGCCAACCATAAAATTATTTTTATTGCTACTTCATAACTGTAATTTTGCTACAGTTATGACTCATGATGTAAATACCCATGTTTTCTGATGGTCTTTGGTGACCCCCATGAAAGGGTCATTTGACTCCCAAAGGGGTTGTGACCCACAGGTTGAGACCCTCTGCCTTAGGAGCAACCATCACCCTGAAATATCTTATTTATCACACAAGTCAATAAACTTTACTTCTCAACAGATGGATGTGTGCAACAAGTGATATGTATCTGGGGTCTTTGCAAGAAATATCATAGATGGTTTTCTCTCACATTTTGCTAATTGGCCTAAGTTTTCTGGAGTCACAAGTCAATAAATGATTTCAAATTTACCAACCAAGTGAAAACATTCAGTTTTTACTTCTATACATGATTCACTCCTCTTATGGATATACCAGCTTGTCATTTCTCTTACAAATACTTAGCTATTGACACTTTTCCTGAGTTTCCAGTAATTACTTAAGAAATGTGTCTTCAAAAATCGACTTCTGAGTATGGGCAAGAGATTTGTGTAAGGTCATAATAGAAGTGGCTTGTCCACCCATCTGCATAGCTATACTCTTAGTAATGATGATCACACTGTTCCTTACAGTGACAACACCACTGACATTCCCGACAGCACCATGTTAGAGCTGCTGCTGTTCCACTTCCAGCCCAACTAGGCTTCTCCATGTCGCCAATATGATGGAGAGAAAACACACCCCACCATGGCTTGAACTCCCAGCCTTTTGACACACTCAGCTGGGCTTGCTGGCTTTCCAGCTCTATGGCCCACACCGGTGTGGAACTCACAGTCCTTCTGCTATGGGATCCCAAGCGCTGGAATAACAGGTTTGCACCACACATCTGACTTGACTAAAATTTCTTGGTGTTTATAATATGTAATGAAGTTTCTCTTTGGTGTACTCACTCAGCTTGTACCCAAGATATGCCACAGAAACAGTGATACGGCTTCAGAAATACAACTACTTGGGTGAAGGTAATTTAACAGTTCAGAAAGGCCTGTTTCTTAAACTTAAGATCCAGTAGATAGGAGGTAGGAATTTTATGCTGAATGTATGAAAAGAGTAATATTACCTCAGTGACTATACAACAGTAGCTGGTGTAGTTTAAAAAAAAAAAAAAAGCACTTTGAAAACGCTTTGAGTGTTATACAAGCTATATAATTAACTTCGCAACTGAATTTCCTTATAATTTTTGGTAGTATTATCCAGACCTTTAGTTAGATGTTCATCTACTCTAGTTATAAAATTGTTCTCTTTATTACAAAAAGAACATTAGCTGTGCGAGTATTCATAGTACATGGACCATACATAATCCTGGAATTCAAAGCAGATTTTGTTTGGTCAAGAACGCAGAACCCTGCAGTCAAGTAGCCGTTCATGCAGACATATCTAGTCACATTTGGTGGTCCAGTGGCAGCTCACAACTGTATCTCACAAAGATGTAGCAATGCATTAACAAAGCTATTGTTCACAATCCGCTTCTCAGGCTCAGGTTTTCATTGATAAATCAAAAGTGAGTGGGGTATAAGTAGGAGTCATTGGGGCAAAGGTGCAAATGGATAAGCCAGAGACAGTGGCACACACTTGGAATCCCAGTGCTCGGTAGGCTGAGAGTTCAAAGCTAGCCTGGGCTACATGGCAAGACCATCTCTCAAAAGAGTCAAGTCAAACTGTTATAAAATGGCAAGAAACGAATGCCCAGTACTAATGCTCAGTGTTTTCCTCTTCTTCACTGTGGTCCATGACACAGATTGTTAATTGGATTTGTAATGGCCAAATACCAAACAGATCTTATCCCTGGAGATTACAGGACCTATCTACAGCTCCTGGCTAAACAGTAGTAAAGATGAAGTACAACTTTAATCTAATAAAAAATTTAAATGTATGTCTGTTACTGAGTGGCAACAGAGGAAAAGAAAATAGGCTCCAAGTGGAACTGCAGTGACTAAAACAATATGCATGTCTCCAATCACAACTACACAATGGTACACAGCAGAGTCCTCCATGGGGCCCACTTACCTGCAGTGTCCGTGTGAGGTAACAAGCAACGGTCATGAGGTATTTTCTCAACAGGCACTGCGGATAACAATCTGTGGGTTTAGAAAATCAACTATCACAGACCACAGAAGAAAGGAGTGCATTGTGAAATATTTTCATCATTTAAAATGGCTATGTCAGAAATTCAAGATAAAGTCATTATAAGGTAGGCTGTGTGTACAAGAGTAGCATCAGTAAACTAAATAAGGAGGTCATTTTGGAAAATTGGTTTCGAATCCATTTGATGACCCTAAAAAGTCCAGGGTGCAAGTGCCCTCGAGTGGCCAGCTCTGATCAGTGAGTCTCTCCTGAACTTAAAAGAATGTCCCCAATTACGTTCTAGATACAACTGCCATATAATTAGTGTCAGACTTATCCACAGTAATTGTCTAATAGAAAACAACCTTCAGGTGACTTTGGACGTCCTTACTCTGTGCCTATATGGGTCACGGCCATATGAAAAAGAAGGTTTAAGAACTATAAAGCTGTAATTGTTAGAATTTTAATTCTGGCTTGTTCTGTTAGAGTTCATGTAAAAAGTTCATAAACACATTGTGTGTGTGTGTGTGTGTGTGTGTGTGTGTGTGTGTGTGTGTAGTCTTACAAGAATATAGGAGAGTTGGGGCTCATGAGGTTTCACCCCTGCTGGCTGCATAGCAACCAGTTTTTGAAAATTGACCTAAATGTCAAATAAACCATCACCAGGTATCTTAAGATGGGGAGGGGTGCACCCTCTACAACAGGGGGCATCAGACTGTGGTTCCCTGAACTGGCAATTTGCAGAATTCCAGATTCTTAGCCCACACCCAGATACCCTGAATCAGAGTGTGGGGCCTAGCAATCTGTGTGAGGTGATAGAATCATTAATCCATGAGTTGCAAATGAGGACTCAATCAGGAGCCTGGTGTTCGTCTATTGACTTCACGCTACACAGATAAACTGGAGTCAAGTTACAAGCCTGACCCAGTGAAGATCACACATAAAATATCCTCAAAGCTATTATTCTCATTCAACTCTTGGTGCAAATGTTTGTTTCACTTCTTGTATTAAATTTTAAGCCTGAATACACAAAAAGGTGCTGTTTTCAGTTAACTTTATATCCATATGTTTGTGTTCCTTAAGGAAACATAATCACCTCGGATGGAAGGAACATTTGGATGTAGTTTAGGTACTTCATAGTGCACCAAAGGCTCACCAGAAGTTTCAACTTTTCAAACACACCCTGTCCACATGTACAACACTTTACCCTAAAACACCCTTCTGCCAAAACTGCAACCTATATTTACGCCATAAAGGAAAAAACCCACATTTTTTTTACACATGGAACCAAATTTAATATTAAAAAAAAAACAAAACCTCAAGAGTATTGTTTTTAAATGGGGATGTTAAAATGCAAAGGAGTAAAGCAACTTCTCACACTCAGCCAGCAGGGTGACAGGGGAATTAGGGTGACACTTTTGCCTCTAGGCATTCAGGGTCAGCAAAAACAGATCACCCGTCTATAAACTACACTTGTCATATGAAGCCACCAAGGATCAGTACCAGAGACAGTCATTCCCATCAGTGTGGAATAAAAAGTGAGAAATAACCATGGGGGCAGGGAGGATGCTTTGAGGATGGACTCTGCCTTTTGCACATAATAACTGCACAAGGAATAAGAGCTGTCACCATCAATGCTGAGATGCTTGTTAGCTAATGCCCCCCCACCAAAAAAATCACCCAGGCCCTTTATAGCTAATCACAAAGTTTGGGAAGGAAAAAATAACAAAACATACTGTTTCTCCGGCTGTACAACTGCAATCTTCCTCTTCTTATCGGCTGTAAAACAGGAAAAGAAAGTGAAAATGACATTGTTAGTGAGGCTAGTCCTTTTCTCATGACTTTAGTGTACAAGTGTCCGCTGTTCTATTTAGTTAAGAGACAGGGCCTCATGAGGGCTGGAACTGGATATGTAGAAGCCAGCAACCTTGTATATCTGATCCTCCAGGACCTACCTCCAAAGTGCTGGGATTACCTGGGTGTACCACCACGCCCAGCATGTGTAGTGCTGGGCCTGAGCCCAGGCTTCAGTGGATGGTAGGCAGGTAGCCATGTAGGGGTGCACTCTCTCAACAGAGCTGCTTCCCAGCCCCTCACTGTTTCTGACTATGACAGGAAATCTTTTAAGTCTCTAAATAATGAGGGTGGTTTTTAGGAAAAAGTCTTAGTTGTTGCTATTTTTTAATTAAGATGAGTCCTGTGTCTACTCTTAAAACTGAAAAGTTGCTGAGGTCAAGCCACAAATTTACATAATATCTCCTAGCATGAAACAGATATGGTTTTCTCAAGCATGAAAAATTTGTAAGTATTTTAATCTTATCACTACACTGGCTATTTTATTTTAAAGGGCACTTTTAATAAGGAAGACAAAGAGAACACATATTGTACTGCACTTCGACACACATTAAGATAAATTGTTGCAAATTCGACAGAAATTGTGATAAGGCAAAGAACACTGCCAAAATAATATACCCCTAAGTCAACTTCAATGAAAAGAAAAAACTGAATGAGTGGTAGGGGGAACAGGCAGCTAGGAAATCAACCAGCAAATAATGATCTGGGGAGATGAGAACACTCTATGTTACTATTTCTTTGAAGACTTATTTTTAATTAAGCAACTGTATCTGTGTCGGGTTATGTGTATATGAGTCCAGCCAAGGTGCCAGGGAGGGACAGGTGGTTTTGTGCTGCGTGAAATGGGTCCTGAGAACCAAACTCAAGTTCTCTGCCAGAGCCGTATATACTCTTGACCACTGAGCCATCTCTCCAGCTCCAATACCTGCATTCATTCTTTAAGCACACATTGTGCTGTAAAGGAGGCAAACTTGAACTTTATCCCACCAAACTATAATGGTTATTGAACTTTGAGTAACAAGTGCTACGCGGCATAGTGATGCATGCCTTTAATCGCAACACTCAGAAGGCAGAGGCACAGGCAGAGGCAGGGAGATTTCTGTGAATTTGAGCCCAGTCTAATCTACAGGATGAGTTCCAGGACAGCCAAAGCTACATAGTAAAATCCTGTCTTGAAAAAAGATGTTAGAAAATGCAGAATTATCTTAATCAAGACTAATTAACAAAAGTGTAGCATATACAAACCAAGCTATGATCTACCTTTTTATAAAGGTGATGATCATTTATTGTAAATTAATATTAACAAAGGACCTGGAGAGACAGTCACACACATGTACATCTATCCACGCATAGACACACAATACACATAAAGTAAAAAATAACCTGGGCTACATAGTGAGACCCTTTCTCAAAAATGGGGGAAAAATTAAAATATACATATATATTTTAATAAAGTAACATATATATGATGTGTAATCTAAGCTTCCCCAATCAAAACAATAACCTCCTTCAATTGCCTCCTTACTGCCACCTATAAAATATACACAAATGTCCATTTGATATCAGCACTTAGAGAATTGAGACAATAATAATATAGGCATTCTTTAGAACACCTAGAAACTTTATTTTCACAGCTTCCTTACCAAATCACCCATTTATTCACCAAGATTATGGACACTACATGTTCATCATCTCATTCCACTTAGCAACACTTACGGACTGTCTTGTGTGGTGTGGTCAAAGGGTAAAAATTCGCTTCACACCAGCCCACAGGGAAGATATCCATGGAATCCATATCCACAATGACCTCTGGAATTGGAGTCTGAAGACCTGAATGGGGAAGAAACCAACACCAAAAAAATGAGAAGGAAATACACACACATAAGCACACACCCACATCCACAAACACACATACACACGCACGCACACACACAAATAAAGCATCCCTAAGACTGAGAAATGCATTCCTGCAAATGCATTTAAAAATGATAATGGTATAGAGGATGACTTGTAGAGTGTGTAGTCTTAAGATGGTTATAAATTTTGAAATAACTTAAGGGTGAGAATCTGAGATAGTTCAAGTAAAATAGGAGTTAGGAAAAAAGATATACATTGCTCTAAAAAGGGGGAGGGAAGAAGGATCCCAAGAAAAACTGGATCAGAGCCAGATATACTCAAAAAGGGACCAGATGTCCCCTTTCCTAAGAGTAGCTATGAAATTAAAGACATGTGGTACAGTTTGTAAGCCACCATGACAGAATTCGTTCCACACCAAGCAAAAAGTAACTGTCAACTAAATAAAAGCAAACATAACAGCCAAAAGCAACAGCTATAGGGAAACCACTGTTTAGGAACAGACTAGAGATAAGGCAATTTCCTAAGAGGATATGTTTGCCTCTCAGCTTCGACTGGAGTGGTTCATTTTTGTATATGTATATGTATATGTATGCCTGTGCATTTGTGTTTGTGTGTATGTGCAGGTGCATGTGTGTACAGGTGTAAGTACACTTCTCTGTGAACGTAAGAGGTCACCTCCAGTGTCATTCCTCAGGCCACACGCACCTGTACCTTGGTTTTTGAGATAGGGTCCCTGGCCCTGAGATCTTAAGTAGGCTCACCAGTGAGTCTCAGGGATCCCCCTGTCTCTGCTTCCTCATGCTGAGATTAAACTCACACACACACACACACACACACGTGCGCGCACGCACACACACAGACCATTACACTAGCATTTTTTTCCTAGCAAAAGAAGATTCTTGTACCATTGTAACACATACCTTACCAACTAAGCTATCTCCCAGGCCCTAGACTTGTTCATCTTTCAGCTCAGTTTGTGACCTACAGGTGCTAACTATGTCACATAAAATACTTCTCTATAGGAATATCTTCATTTTTTATGAGACATGTGTAACCACTGCATCCTGTTCTCTGATTACAGCTGTGTCCTGTGATAAACCAACATCACAGCTGGTAATTCCTGAAAAAGACCAGAAATCTACAGTGGCAGCTGAAATATCAAACACCCTTGGCTACAGAGAGAATAAATCTGGAATACACTCCTCCAGTTAGCAGAAGAAATTCTACACTAAATCAATTGTCCTTAAGAAAAACAGCATCATCATAAACAACAACAACAACAACAACAACAAACAGAACAACACTTGGAAGGACAAATTCTCAAACCAAAAATCAACAGATAAGATATGAGATATGTTGATATCTAGTGACTCTCTGAATCTACTTTGCCTCTGTGTCCTCAGCAATATTTAAGATGAAAACACCACTGTAACCCCCATCAGACACCCATATCAGACACAGTATCTACTGAATTTTAAATCAGATTGCCCTCGTCCTGTTTCCCCAAACTCATTGTAACTTAAAGAAGCTAAACACCAAGACCCACACACACACACACACACACACACACACACACACACACACAAAGTCCCAACTCCAGCCGTTAGTTCCATGCCTCACATCCCCTTCTTTCACAACCATAGGATGACACTGTGAAAAGTACGTATGTGGTTTAATAAGTGAATGCTCTTAATTTAGTAGTAAGCCAACATATTGATGAATGTGAAATGCCCTGAAGGGAGATGGTTCAGTCAGCAAAGTGCTTGCCCTGCAAGCATGAACCCCAAAGTTCATGTTTTGTCTTTTACAACCAGGCAGAGTGCCTCACATTTGTACTCTCAGTTTTGGGGAGGCAGAGATAGGCAGATTCCTAAGTCCCAGGACAATAAGAGACACTGTATCAAAAGTCATGGTGGCCACAACCTAAGGAACAATAGTCAAGTTTGTCCTCTGGCCTCCATATTAACAGGCACTTGAATACACATACACATACACATACACATACACATACACATACACAGAGAGAGAGAGAGAGAGACTAAGAGAGAGAGAGACTAAGAGAGAGAGGGAGACTAATTTTTTTCAAGTAATACTCCCAGTGTCTTCCTATGGATATGACTCTCTTCACCCTGAAGTGCTCATGATTCCTTGAGGGTCCAACCAAAAGGGTCTCAAGGATGTTTCTCACAGCACAAAATCATTTTCTCTACTTTGGGAATAGTATTGGTTTCTTAGTGTCACAACCATTTCCCCACAGGTTAAACTATCCACCAGAAATATCTGCAGTTTTTGATTGGGTTTAGCCACAAATAAGATTTTCAAGGTTATTCAAAACAGTACTTCAAAAAAATGCATAGAGTGAACTTGGCCGCTTTAAGTCCCTCTGCCCAAATGTTCTGTTGGCTCAAGCATTACATCATATTAATGCTCTAATTAATATATACACTTCTGTATAATGCAGACATTAATGTGTTGCTATGGCTGCCTTTACCAGGCTTTAAAGTTCTTTCATTATATTCCCCATCCACTCAAACAGATACTTACAAGCTAAGAGGTGTGAACCGCTTTGGTTTCCCTCAAGGAATTTACACTCCTGCTTTTCTTTCACTTTAAATCTTGCCTCTGAAGACATGTTTGAAATAATATAGGGTGACAAAATGGCTTATCCAGACTGGGAAACTGGCTTAGGGAATAAGAGTACCTGACCTGCAAGCATGAGACCCAAGTGTGGTTCCCGGGAACCTGCTTTAGAAGATGAGCATAGCGGTGCCTAGCTTTAACTCCAGCACTTCATGGGGGAAGAGAAATGAATCCTAAGAGCTCACTGACCAGGTCAGGAAGCCTGGTCAAAATGGCAGGGTCTGCACTTTGACCCTGCTTTGAGACATGGTCATGTCTCAAGGAAATATGATGGAGAGAATACACAGGAAGACACTGATGTCGCTCTCTGGCTTCTGCACAGCTATACTCAGGCTGTGAGTAAGATGAATGAAAACAAGTAGAGTATGTGCATATGCCACATATATTGGAGGAAGGGAGAGAAGGAGGAAGGGAGGACACACACACACAGAGAGAGAGAGAGAGAGAGCGAGCGAGAGAGAGAGAGAGAGAGCGAGCGAGAGAGAGAGAGAGAGAGAGAGAGAGAGAGAGAGAGAGAACACGCTAAAGCAATGTGGGTATCATTGAGAAAAATTTTTCCTGACCCCCATCTTTTAAATCCCACTCTGGATGGTGAGTAGCAACTGCCTTTTCCTTTTATCAGTCTTATCAATTGCTGTGATGATCACATAAGTGTAGATACATCTAGCCAGATTCCAGATAACCTTTTAAGGGAAAGCTATTATTTCCAAGCTTGGAGATCCAACAGCTTTACAAAATGACACACGTGTTCAGGATTCTTGCTTGCTTGTTCCAGCACTGCTGGGATTATAGAAGCACACTGAGAGACTTCACCAAAGACTCAAGGCAATATCTGTCACTTCATATGTAAGCAAGACATGCTGCATGAAATTCTTTATGAATGAATAAAAATATTTATGAAAAGAAAAGAAAACCCACTTACAGACAAGACCACACCTGAGCTCTGCCTTTGTCTAAGCGGCATCTCATCAGTATCACTTGCACTCACTCATACCTCTCTAGAAGGTCTACCTCAAAACCCATTAGGAAGCAGAGAGCCCCTCCATGGGAAAGTATTCAAATGATGCAGGGTATATTCAAGTGATGGAACAGTTGGCAGCTATTTAAATACTTAATGTGATGATCTCCAAGATGTATCGTGGAGTGAGAAAAGACAGACTGAACTCTTGAGTGTAAACCACAAAGCGATCTGTTTTCAAGGGGTAAGGACACATATATTTACATGTGCATGAAATAAATCTGAGAGGAATTGTAAGGTACTAATGGCGGTAACTCCCAAGAAAAGAGCAAAATGCAGAGGAGTAGGGAGGCCAAGACCCAGAGTGAGAATCTAACCCAAGATACTTTGTGGGTTGTATACCTTTGTGAATGTCGTCTTTTACAAACACAGTCTCCACAATCTCCAGAATAATGACAACACAGCATAGTCAAGGAGAAAAGGATTTTGTGCATAAATGTTGTCTTGCCATTAAGTTCAAATTAGTAAAATGCAAGTTACCATAGAAGAAAATAAAATGAAACCACTGCTAAAAGAAGAACTTTCTGGTCCTAAAGTAAATTTACAAGCATCTGAATTTATAGGAATCATGTAGGAGTCTTAAAGATGATTTCGCATCTCCTGTAGCCTTTGTCCTTCCATCATAGATCCCAAGACTCTGCTTGCCTGTGTAATTGCTAGAACTTTGTACTGCAGTTCAATCTAGTCAATGGCAAGGACTACTTCAATGGAGATGGTGACCTGCTTTAACCCAGGAACATCAGGCTGACACTCGGGGTGGCTTGCCAGGACACTTTAGTGAGGAACACAGTCCTGCCAAGGTCCCAAAGATATGCAGTTATACACTTCCAGCAAGCCACAAGAGAGAGAAAAAACAGGTGAATTAGAGAGTGGAGATACTATGGGATACCACAGGCAAGAGGGATGTGAGAAGAGAAAGCTTCAAAGCCAATCATGATACAAGTAATGATTTTCATTTACTTCAGTAATAGAACTGGTACACCTCTTCATCTTACTTAAATGCTGGGATGGGGAAAAGGTAAGAGATGTTTAAGGGAACAACTTTACTTGGGATAATGTTCTTAATCAAAGTTAAAGTGCAGGGCAAATGTGGACAGACTTAAAGATGAGAAGAAAAGAGAAAACATAAGATGAGGGAAAAGCAACCAGAGCCAGGAGATTGATGGAGCCCTAGCTATGACCTGCTGTGCTTGTCCCCTTTGCAATGCCAAGCAACAAAGGAGCCTTTGGAGCATCTCTTTGTCAGCCCTGGAGCCAAACTCCTAAGGAATAAAGAGAGAATAGAACTGTGGCCAGCAAGAAAAAAGATTAAGGT